GTAGTAAGATATAGTATTGATACACTGTAGTACAGTAGTAAGATATAGTATTGATACACTGTAGTACAGTAGTAAAATATAGTATTGATACACTGTAGTAAGATATAGTATTGATACACTGTAGTATAGTAGTAAGATATAGTATTGTTACACTGTAGTAATTAGATATAGTATTGATATACCATTGTAATATAGTAAGATACTTATAGACTTATATAGAACTGATACACCTTTGTAGTGTAGTAACAATATAGTATTTATCAAGATACCTATATTACTAGTATTGATACATTGTAGTATTTAGTAAGATACCTATATTACAAGTATTGATACATTGTAGTATTTAGTAAGATATGTATATTACTAGAATTGATACATTGTAGAATTTAGTAAGATATGTATATTACTAGTATTGATACATTGTAGTATTTAGTAAGATACCTATATTAATACTATTGATACATTGTAGTATTTAGTAAGATACCTATATTAATAGTATTGATACACTGTAGTATTTAGTAAGATACCTATATTACTGGAATTGATACACTATAGTATTTAGTAAGATACCTATATCACTAGTATTGATACATTGTAGTGTTTAGTAAGATACCTATATTACTAGTATTGATACACTGTAGTATTTATTAAGATACCAATAATACTAAAATTGATACATTGTAGTATTTAGTAAGATATGTATATTACTAGTATTGATACATTGTAGTATTTAGTAAGATACTGATAGTATTAATACATTGTAGTATTTAGTAAGATACCTATATTACTAGTTTTGATACATTGTAGTATTTAGTAAAATACCTATATTACTAATATTGATACATTATAGTATTTAGTAAGATACCTATATTACTAGTATTGATACACTATAGTATTTAGTAAGATACCTATATCACTAGTATTGATACATTGTAGTTTTTAGTAAGATACCTATATTACAAGTATTGATACATTGTAGTATTTAGTAAGATAACTACATTACTAGTATTGATACACTAAAGTATTTAGTAAGATACCTATATCACTAGTATTGATACATTGTAGTATTTAGTAAGATACCTATATCACTAGTATTGATACACTGTAGTATTCAGTAAGATACCTATATTACTAGTATTGATACACTGTAGTATTCAGTAAGATACCTATATTACTAGTATCGATACATTGTAGTATTTAGTAATATACCTACATTACGAGTATTGATACACTATAGTATTTAGTAAGATCCCTATATTACTAGTATTGATACACTGTAGTATTTATTAAGATACCAATAATACTAAAATTGATACATTGTAGTATTTAGTAAGATACCTATAAGATATCTATATTACTAGTATTGATACACTGTAGTATTTAGTAATTAAGATCTCTATATTACTAGTATTGATACACTGTAGTACTGTAGTAAGATACCTATATTACTAGTATTGATACACTGTAGTATTTAGTAATTAAGATCTCTATATTACTAGTATTGATACACTGTAGTATTTAGTAAGATACCTATATTACTAGTATCGATACATTGTAGTATTTAGTAATATACCTACATTACGAGTATTGATACACTATAGTATTTAGTAAGATCCCTATATTACTAGTATTGATACACTGTAGTGTTTAGTAAGATACCTTTATTCCTAGTATTGATACATTGTAGTATTTAGTAATATACCTACATTACTAGTATTGATACACTATAGTATTTAGTAAGATCCCTATATTACTAGTATTGATACACTGTAGTATTTATTAAGATACCAATAATACTAAAATTGATACATTGTAGTATTTAGTAAGATACCTATAAGATATCTATATTACTAGTATTGATACACTGTAGTATTATTACTAGTATTGATACACTAAAGTATCTAGTAAGATACCTATATCACTAGTATTGATACACTGTAGTATTCAGTAAGATACCTATATTACTAGTATTGATACACTATAGTATTTAGTAAGATCCCTATATTACTAGTATTGATACACTGTAGTACTGTAGTAAGATACCTATATTACTAGTATTGGTACACTGTTGTATTTAGTAATTAAGATATCTATATTACTAGTATTGATACACTGTAGTATTTAATAAGATACCTATATTACTAGTATTAATACACTGTAGTACTGTAGTAAGATACCTATATTACTAATATTGATACATTGTAGTATTTAGTAAGATACCTATAAGATATCTATATTACTAGTATTGATACACTGTAGTATTTAGTAATTAAGATCTCTATATTACTAGTATTGATACACTGTAGTGTTTAGTAAGATACCTTTATTCCTAGTATTGATACATTGTAGTATTTAGTAATATACCTACATTACTAGTATTGATACACTATAGTATTTGGGAAGATACCTATATTACTAGTATTGATACATTGTAGTATTTAGTAATATACCTACATTACTAGTATTGATACACTATAGTATTTAGTAAGATACCTATATTACTAGTATTGATACACTGTAGTATTTAGTAAGATACCTATATTACCAGTATTGATACACTGTAGTATTTAGTAAGATACCTACATTACTAGTATTGATACACAGTAGTATTTAGTGAGATACCTACATTACTAGTATTGATACATTGTAGTATTTAGCAAGATACCTATATTACTAGTATTGATACACTGTAGTATTTAGTAAGATACCTATATTACCAGTATTGATACACTGTAGTATTTAGTAAGATACCTATACTACCAGTATTGATACACTGTAGTATTTAGTAAGATACCTATATTACCAGTATTGATACACTGTAGTATTTAGTAAGATACCTACATTACTAGTATTGATACACAGTAGTATTTAGTAAGATACCTACATTACTAGTATTGATACATTGTAGTATTTAGTAAGATACCTATATTACCAGTATTGATACACTGTAGTATTTAGTAAGATACCTATATTTCTAGTATTGATACATTGTAGTGTTTAGTAAGATACCTATATTACCAGTATTGATACATTGTAGTATTTAGTAAGATACCTATACTACTAGTATTGATACATTTTTGTATTTAGTAAGATACCTATATTACTAGTATTAGTAAGATACCTATATTACTAATATTGATACATTGTAGTATCTAGTAAGATACCTATAATACTAGTATTGATTCATTGTAGTATTTAGTAAGATACCTACATTACTAGAATTGATACACAGTAGTATTTAGTAAGATACCTACATTACTAGTATTGATATACTGTAGTATTTAGTAAGATACCTATATTACTAGTATTAGTAAGATACCTATATTACTAATATTGATACAATACCTATATCACTAGTATTGATACATTGTAGTTTTTAGTAAGATACCTATATTACCAGTATTGATTCATTGTAGTATTTAGTAAGATACCTACATTACTAGAATTGATACACAGTAGTATTTAGTAAGATACCTACATTACTAGTATTTGATACACTGTAGTATTCAGTAAGATACCTATATTACTAGTATTGATACATTGTAGTATTTAGTAAGATACCTATACTACTAGTATTGATACACTGTAGTATTTAGTAAGATACCTATATTACTAGTATTGATACACTGTAGTATTTAGTAAGATACCTATATTACTAGTATTGATACATTGTAGTATTTAGTAAGATACCTATATTACTAGTATTGATACACTGTAGTATTTAATAAGATACCTATATTACTAGTATTGATACACTGTAGTACTGTAGTAAGATACCTATATTACTAGTATTGATACATTGTAGTATTTAGTATGATACCTATATTAAATGTATTGATACACTGTAGTATTTAGTAAGATACTGATAGTATTGATACATTGTAGTATTTAATAAGATGATTTTATTACTAGTATTAATACACTATAGTATTTAGTAAGATACCTATATTACTAGTATTGATACACTTTAGTATTTAGTAGGATACCTATATTACTAGTATTAATACACTATAGTATTTAGTAAGATGCCTATATTACTAGTATTGATACACTTAAGTATTTAGGAAGATACCTATATTACTAGTATTGATACACTGTAGTATTTAGTAAGATACCTATATTACTAGTATTGATACAATGTAGTACTGTAGTAAGATACCTATATTACTAGTATTGATACACTGTAGTATTTAGTAAGATACCTATATTTCTAGTATTGATACATTGTAGGGTTTAGTAAGATACCTATATTACTAGTATTGATATATTGTAGTGTTTAGTAAGATACCTATATTACTAGTATTGATACACTGTAATATTTAGTAAGATATCTATATTACTAGTATTGATACATTGTAGTGTTTAGTAAGATACCTATATTACCAGTATTGATACATTGTAGTACTGTAGCGAGACTCTTACATTACAGTAACAGCGATATTCCCCTATCTTGTCCACACATGTCCCATTATTACTAGTATTGATACACCGTAGTATTTAGTAAGATACCTATATTTCTAGTATTGATACCTATATTACTAGTATTGATACGTTGTAGTATTTAGTAAGATACCTATACTACTAGTATTGATACATTGTAGTATTTAGTAAGATACCTATATTACCAGTATTGATACATTGTAGTATTTAGTAAGATACCTACATTACTAGTATTGATATACTGTAGTATTTAGTAAGATACCTATATTACTAGTATTGATACACTGTAGTATTTAGTAAGATACCTATATTACCAGCATTGATACATTGTAGTATTTAGTAAGATACCTATATTACCAGCATTGATACATTGTAGTATTTAGTAAGATACCTACATTACTAGTACTGATATACTGTAGTATTTAGTAAGATACCTATATTACTAGTATTGATACAATGAAGTACTGTAGTAAGATACTTATAGTATTGATACACTTTAGTACTGTAGCGAGACACTTACATTACAGTAACAGCGATATTCCCCTATCTTGTCCACACATGTCCCATTATTCATGCATGGCTGACTGGCACACTCATTTAACGGGGAATCACAACTACAGAAGGAGGAAAGAACAACACATATAAATTAGAGCATGATTTATTGATTGCAAATGTCCTGAGTGAGAATATCTAACTATTTTGCAAAGATTTGTCATTAAAATTCCAAGTAGTTTATGTCATCAGTGTAGGATTTTCAGAGCAAAAGTATCTGGTTAGTCCTTTTTATTTCAGTTTTGGCAGGAAGTCACAAGACAGATTCATTTTCAACATTTAAGCAAAACAGGAAATGAAAACTAATCCATATTTAAAGAAGAGTTGAGTACCTGAGCCCTTTATAACCTGGGTAACAGGCACAAGAGAATCCTCCAAGCCGATCAATACAGTTACCATGTACACAGGGGTTTGATTCACAATCGTTGATATCTGTCTCACAATATAAGCCAGTATAACCTGAAAATACACAACTTTAATGTAGCAGAGTATAACAATGTAATATACGTATGGGTACAGTAACAAAAAACATCCCCAGTTACTGTATACATCATTTACGATACAAAACGACAAGCAGCCCAAGGCCTGTGTCAGTAAATGGTGTTGGCAAAATACATATAATGCTGAAATGCTTTAGAGGATGCATGATGTCTTCAACCCACTCGCCATCTGTTACCTTTATTTCCAGTCCCGATAACTATAAAAGGACATACTTAGTAGTCGTTAAATTACAGCAAGCTTAGCACTACTCAACAAATAGAGTAGTTTCTTATTTATGGCAGGTTTTTTTCATCTTCATATCAAATTAAATTAAGCATGCATATTTAGGGACCAAGAGAACCTACACATGGAATTTGAGAAAAGATCTGTCTATTACTTTTGAGTAATAGACAAAAATGTTCTTTAAGGTTGGACTACAGACAGATTTGCCGACCACAAATGGCGAAGGGACCACAAATGAAAGGCTATTTCAACAGTCCAGACCACCATCTAATGTATGTAGGATAAAAACTGGTACTAGACATATGATGGTTGTCACCCATCACATAAGCTCAAAAGTATTTTAAGATAGGAAAGCTGAAACATATGGCTGTGAAAATATGCCATTGAACACATAAGTCAATAGGGAAAAAACATTTACTTCAGTTAATTAAGTTCCATTCATAACAGGGTTTTGAATGTATAAATACCTGGACGGCAGATACAGTTGTTGGAACTGTTGCTGGCCTGACATGTTGCTCCATTCATACAGGGGTAGCTTTGGCATACATTGATGTGATTTTCACAGCGCTCGCCTGTAAAACAGTAGTAATAGCACAACTCACATAAACCATCCCACTTCTTTTCTGGTGTATAAACAGTAGTATATCATCACTCAATACACAAACACCTAGACCTGTAAGCACAATCTAACTAAATACCCCCACACTTGTTCAGTGACTACAACAGGGTATTTGAAATGATACTGATCCCTTCATGAGCACAGTAGTCTCCGCCATGAGCAGTCTTCTCCCCACACGCACAGTCTCCACTCACAAGCACAGTCTCCCCCTCACAAGCACAGTCTCCCCTCACAAGCACAGTCTCCCCCTCACAAGCACAGTCTCCCCTCACAAGCACAGTCTCCCCTCACAAGCACAGTCTCCTCAGTCTCCCCTCACAAGCACAGTCTCCCCTACAAGCACAGTCTCCCCAGTCTCCCCTCACAAGCACAGTCTCCCCTACAAGCACAGTCTCCCCAGTCTCCCCTCACAAGCACAGTCTCCCCTCCAAGCACAGTCTCCCCAGTCTCCCCTCACAAGCACAGTCTCCCCTACAAGCACAGTCTCCCCAGTCTCCCCTCACAAGCACAGTCTCCCCTACAAGCACAGTCTCCCCAGTCTCCCCTCACAAGCACAGTCTCCCCTCCAAGCACAGTCTCCCCAGTCTCCCCTCACAAGCACAGTCTCCCCTACAAGCACAGTCTCTCCAGTCTCCCCTCACAAGCACAGTCTCCCCTCACAAGCACAGTCTCCCCTCACAAGCACAGTCTCCCCTCACAAGCACAGTCTCCCCAGTCTCCCCTCACAAGCACAGTCTCCCCTCACAAGCACAGTCTCCCCTCACAAGCACAGTCTCCCCCCACAAGCACTGACTCCCTTCACAAGCACAGTCTCCCCTACAAGCACAGTCTCCCTTACATGCACAGTCTCCCCCACAAGCACAGTCTCCCTCACAAGCACAGTCTCCCATCACGAGCACAGTCATCCCCCACAGGCACAGTCTACCCTAAACGCACAGTCTCCCTTCACAAGCACAGTCTCCCTCACAAGCACAGTCTCCCTCACAAGCACAGTCTCCCCCTTACAAGCACAGTCTCCCCTCACAAGCACAGTCTCCCTCACAAGCACAGTCTCCCCCTTACAAGCACAGTCTCCCTCACAAGCACAGTCTCTCCTCATGAGTACAGTACTCTCCCTCAATGTAAACTCCCATTACTTTGTGGCCTGAGGTATAAAACAGTCATACATAACTTAAACAGTAAGAGAAGTTGGTGACTACAGTGTGTTGACCTACCAGTGAAGCCAGACAGACAGGAACACTGATGGAAACGTCCTTCGTCCAACATGGTACATGTGCCATCATTCAGACAAACTTTACTGAGGCAGGGATTCAGTACTGTAACAAACAAACAAAACTCCTTCCAAAATAAAACTTTCCTAGAGTTTGTTATAACTTAAGTTCCCTAGAGTTTGTTACAACTAAGGTTACCTAGAGTTTGTTATATCTAAGGTTCCCTAGAGTTTGTTATAACTAAGGTTCCCTAGAGTTTGTTATAACTAAGGTTCCCTAGAGTTTGTTATAACTAAGGTTCCCTAGAGTTTGTTATAACTAAGGTTCCCTAGAGTTTGTTATAACTAAGGTTCCCTAGAGTTTGTTATAACTAAGGTTCCCTAGAGTTTGTTATAACTAAGGTTCCCTAGAGTTTGTTATAACTAAGGTTCCCTAGAGTTTGTTATAACTAAGGTTCCCTAGAGTTTGTTATAACTAAGGTTCCCTAGAGTTTGTTATAACTAAGGTTCCCTAGAGTTTGTTATAACTAAGGTTCCCTAGAGTTTGTTATAACTAAGGTTCCCTAGAGTTTGTTATAACTAAGGTTCCCTAGAGTTTGTTATAACTAAGGTTCCCTAGAGTTTGTTATAACTAAGGTTCCCTAGAGTTTGTTATAACTAAGGTTCCCTAGAGTTTGTTATAACTAAGGTTCCCTACAGTTTGTTATAACTAAGGTTCCCTAGAGTTTGTTATAACTAAGGTTCCCTAGAGTTTGTTATAACTAAGGTTACCTAAAGTTTGCCATAACTAAGGTTCCCTAGAGTTTGTTATAACTAAGGTTCCCTACAGTTTGTTATAACTTAAGTTCCCTAGAGTTTGTTATAACTAAGGTTCCCTAGAGTTTGTTATAACTAAGGTTCCCTACAGTTTGTTATAACTAAGGTTCCCTACAGTTTGTTATAACTAAGGTTCCCTAGAGTTTGTTATAACTAAGGTTACCTAGAGTTTGTTATAACTAAGATTCTCCAGAGTTTGTTATAACTAAGGTTCCCTAGAGTTTGTTATATTTAAGGTTCCCTACAGTTTGTTATAACTAAGGTTCCCTAGAGTTTGCTATATCTACAGTCCCTTTGGGTTAGTTTTAGCTTAAAATTTCATTGTGTTTGTTATAACAGTATTAATGTGGATACTGTATCTTTACATGTAAAATCTGACTGGTATCTAGTAGTTCTATGAATGATAAGATGGGAATTCTGCCTGGTATATACTAGTTCCATGAATAATAAAACATGAACTCTGAGTGGTATTTACTGGTTCTATGAATAATAAAACACGAATTATGCCTGGTGTCTACTAGGACTGTGAGTATAACACATGATTTCTGACTGGTGTCTACTAGTTCTGTGAATATAACATTTGAATTATGCCTGGTATCTACTAGTTCTGTGAATATAACAATTGAATTATGCCTGGTGTCTACTAGTTCTGTGAATATAACATTGGAATTTTGCCTGGTGTCTACTAGTTCTGTGAATATAACATTTGAATTAGTCCTGGTGTCTACTAGTTCTGTGAATATAACATTTGAGTTATGCCTGATATCTACTAGTTCTGTGAATATAACATTTGAATTATGCCTGATGTCTACTAGTTCTGTGAATAAATATAACATTGGAATTATGCCTGGTATTTACTAGTTCTATGAATAATAAAACACGCATTATGCCTGGTATCTACTAGTTCTGTGAATATAACATTTGAATTATGCCTGGTGTCTAATAGTTCTGTTAATATAACATTGGAATTATGCCTGGTGTCTAATAGTTCTGTGAATATAACATTGGAATTATGCCTGGTATCTACTAGTTCTGTGAATATAACATTTGAATTTTGCCTGGTATCTACTAGTTCTGTGAATATAACATTTGAATTATTGCCTGGTATCTACTAATTCTGTGAATATAACATTTGAATCATGCCTGGTATCTATTAGTTCTGTGAATATAACATTTGAATTATGCCTGGTGTCTACTAGTACTGTGAGTATAACACATGATTTCTGACTGGTGTCTACTAGTTCTGTGAATATAACATTTGAACTATGTCTGGTATCTACTAGTTCTGTGAATATAACATTTGAATCATGCCTGGTATCTACTATCCCTGTATTCACAATGTAAACCTTGCCAGCTTACCTTTACACAGAGTTTGTGAAGCTCCCCCAGGAGATGTGGTGCCTTTCCCTCTCGGACATTCCGTACATGATGTTGACCGGGTGTGGTCAGAATAGAAGTGATAGGGGCAGTGCACACAGGGCTTCAGACCAGTCAAGCTATAGGCTCCCATTGGACATTCCTCTGTTGTAGAGGAAACAAATTACTGCACTGTTTATTACAGAACATTCTACCTATGCAGCCTCTCATCAGAAAAACTCTGTAATTAAGTCACTGACTCCAGTTTCATTCTTTCTGGTTTTATAATTTTGAGGACTGTAGAAACAAGGAGTGTGCACTGCAAGAGTATTATTTTCATTATGATATAAACCTTTTAGAAAAGGCCATAGTGACCTCAAAAATGGTTTAACCTTTAATAGTTCCAGTAAATGACACTGCCCAAATTTTGAAAAAAAATCAAAACAAAAATACATAAATATTTGTCTATGTTAAACAAGTAACAATGCTGAACATTATTGCTGAAATTTTCACTCTAAAAGTTTATATTGTACATGTTTTAAAAATGTTTACATTTTTTCATAATCAAAGATTAAATCCTGTTATTAGCATCAGTGTTGTCAGGGTTATTACAAACCTTTACAGTCTGATGGAGATGAGGATCCTATGTTCACAGTGCTAGTGGACATTCCTGGGCATTCAGTACAGGAAATGCTTGCATTGTCAGTAGAGTAGTTTCCCTTGGCACATTTGATGCATGGTTGTAGACCAGTGCTGGAGTATTCTCCAGGTTTACACACAGCTGTGGATTGATTCAGGACAGAAGTGTTTTTAAATTACAATGAAGCTTCCTGAAAGTATCTCCCTAGCAGCTCTTTATGTACTTAAAAAGAAAACAACGTACAACACTAAATTTAACATGAACAATTGCTACTTTTAATAATGGCTGGCCCTGATGTCCAACACAAGTTGTTCTTAACATCCAAAGTTGAATCTGTGCCTTCCAGAACATCGCAGTTCAAATATTCCAAATGCCTCACAGCCCACAGGGGCTGGTAGGATAAAAAAAAAAATGTGCCTAACATATGTTATTTCGAAACACTGCAGAGTATGGTTAAACAGCAGAGTAAGGCGATCAAGCCATAGTCCCCAATAGGATAACCTTTGTTACAGAGGAAATTAATTAAAAGTCAGTTTTAATTGCACTCCGGGAACACATAATTGTGAAGCCTAACCGTGTTAAAGCCATTAACAGCCAAGGTCCATGTCTAGGTCATATGTCAAGTTACTTTTTATGACATAGTAACTGGGACCTTTATTTAGAGGTCACTTGGATTAATTGGCCTCACTATGAATACAGATTTTTAAAACTACTTATAAACCTGAGAAAAGGAAGCATGTTGCCAAGAAGCATTGAGCAAGTTGTGTTTCAGATTGACTGTACCTAGACAGTGGCTGTCCTCCTGAGTGTCCAGTGAGCAGATCTGACAGTAGGGATGGCGAGCTGGCCTGTCATTACTGACCTTGGGACAGGGTTCACACTGACTGGTGTTAGGAAAGGTCCCCAGCACACACTGGCCTGTACAACAACAAAGATTCCATACCATTATACCATGTATTTTATATCTTATTAATGACTGTAACATACCTATCGTACAACTAAAATTCTGCTGATGTGGTTTTCACATGTTTTATGAATTGACAAGTAAATATTTTTTCTACTTACGACAGTATTTGGCAGGTGTTAACACACTGTAATTTGGACATGTGAAGCCCTGTTGTAAGGTCTTGCTGGAGTATGATAATGCCACCTCTTCACAGCTAGTTAGCTGTAGAACTACATTATTAAGTGTGTTCAATGCTTTCGTGGCATACTTCGCACATACAGACATTGCCTCCGGAGTCACTTCCACTGAGGGAGACTGTCTCCAAATCTGAGCTGTTATATTTACAACCTCCTGTAAATGACAAAAAGTAGCTTTCTTTTATATAAATATACATTTATTAAAATCTTTTCATTGTTCTTTTACATTGCTTCAAATTGCAATTCTTTGAAATGAGAATTGATGTTTAACAGAACATCAGACTGATGACATAAGCTGATACCTGATCAATGAGTAAACTCTTCACTTCTATGCTGAACATTTGTGGGAATTTGGTGTAGCAGTCATCCTTGATGATGTTGGATATGTTTATCTTCATCAGTGAGCTCACATCACATACACTAGAGTGTGAACTAGCCGGAGACAGGTTCACACTGAAGTCCAACTGATATATAGGGAAACTCTCATTTCCTGAAATTAAATAATGCACACTGTCAGTACTCTCTTTGTAAGTTTCACTTATCAGAGAAAAAACAATATCTAGTAGTTGTACTGTAAAACTAATTCATTACATACTTTCAGGGACCAAATTAACGTTTGTGTGTATTATTTGTAAACATATCTGAGAAATGAAGTTCAAAATTATTTTTACTATACTGTTGTCAAGCAAAGTAAGCCTTCTTGTTAAGCTGATTAGCACTCATTTAAAATCCTAGCCACATAAGAGCTAACAGAAATTAACAATGGAGAAAGACCAAAGTAAGTCATTATACATCCTCTTCATCAAGTAATCCCTTACTCTGAGCTTCATAGGTGAAGTTACAGGAGGCTGTGTTTCCTTGATTGTCGTGCACTGTCACCATGACTTGGACGTGGGTGCGAATGCTGATATAAGTGCCCTCTTGTGGTCGGTATGTGTACTGAGCAATGCCACTGTCCCCTATTGCCGTGATGTAGTTGCCATGGTAGCGGATAGGAACTGTAGTCTGGTTTGTATCATACTTTTCTATTACCACCGACATCGGGCATTCAATGGTAGGAGGGAAGGTATCTGTGACAAAAAATGGTGGCCGTCAATATTCAAACACATTTGTCTAAGTTTCATCTATTGCCAGATATTCTTTTTAAAATGATGAGTTTACTTTATAGTGCAGACCTGTACACACCAACATCAATGATAGGATATGACACAGTGTATTAGTTAAATCTGGTACAGTTGATGATTGATGGGTCTGTGGTACATTTCAATGACTCTGTGGTATATTTCAGTGATTATGTGGTATATTTCAGTATATTTGAGTGATTATGTGGTATATTTCAATGACTGTGGTATATTTCAGTAATTATGTGGTATATTTCAGTATATTTCAGTGATTATGTGGTATATTTTAAAGACTGTGGTATATTTCAGTGATTATATGGTATATTTCAATGACTGGTATATTTCAGTGATTATGTGGTGTATATTTCAGTGGTTATGTGGTATATTTCAATGACTCTGTGGTATATTTTAGTGATTATGTGGTATATTTCAATGACCGTGGTATATTTCAGTGATTATGTGGTACATTTCAATGACTCTGGTATATTTCAGTGATTATGTGATAAATTTCAGTGATTATGTGGTGTATATTTCAGTGGTTATGTGGTATATTTCAATGACTCTGGTATATTTCAGTGATTATGTGGTACATTTCAATGACTCTGGTATATTTCAGTGGTTATGTGGTAAATTTCAGTGATTATGTGGTGTATATTTCAGTGGTTATGTGGTATATTTCAATGACTCTGTCGTACATTTCAATGTCTCTGTGGTATATTTCAGTGATTATGAGGTATATTTCAATGACTCTGGTATATTTCAGTGATTATGTGATAAATTTCAGTGATTATGTGGTGTATATTTCAGTGGTTATGTGGTATATTTCAATGACTCTGTCGTACATTTCAATGTCTCTGTGGTATATTTCAGTGATTATGCGGTATATTTAAGTGATTATGTGGTATATTTCAATGACTGTGTGGTATATTTCAGTGACTGTGGTATATTTCAGTGATTATTTGGTATATTTCAATGACCGTGGTATATTTCAGTGATTATGTGGTGTATATTTCAGTGGTTATGTGGTATATTTCAATGACTCTGTGGTACATTTCAATGACGCTGTGGTATATTTCAGTGATTATGTGGTGTATATTTCAGTGATTATGCGGTATATTTCAGTATATTTCAGTGATTATATGGTATATTTCAGTATATTTCAGTGATTATTTGGTATATTTCAGTATATTTCAGTGATGATGTGGTATATTTCAATGACTGTGTGGTATATTTCAGTGATTATGTGGTGTATATTTCAGTGGTTATGTGGTATATTTCAATGACTCTGTGGAATATTTCAGTGATTATGTGGTATATTTCAATGACTGTGGTAGATTTCTGTGATTATGTGGTATATTTCAATGAATGTGGTATATTTCAGTGATTATGTGGTATATTTCAATGACTCTGGTATATTTCAGTGATTATGTGGTAAATTTCAGTGATTATGTGGTGTATATTTCAGTGATTATGTGGTATATTTCAGTGATTATGTGGTATATTTCAGTGATTATGTGGTGTATATTTCAGTGATAATGTGGTATATTTCAGTGATATAGCATTACTCATCATCCTGCATCTCTAAATTAAAATACTTCCAATATTTGACCACATATAAGCCTCCTTACCACTCTAGCAAATGTTTGGTGTATTTTATAATCAATACAAACATATGTAAAACAATAAAACTCTACAAACCTATCAGTATCACCTGGAAGTTACATCTGGCCTCATTATTGCTGGTATCCCGGGCAGTGATTATCACTGTGGTGTTCTAGAACACAATCAACAAACTTCTCAAAGAAAACTGCTTTACATCTTTAATGCTGCAAAAACTTGCATCAATCATTGTTTTCCAAGTTTATCAAAGGTTAATTTAAATGTTGACTATTCACAAAATACATATTCAGTTTTTCATGTACAAGAAATACAGGGGAGATTTCCTGTTAGTTCAGAGTACCATAACATGAAGCAAAGACTAACGTAAGAAATTATTAAATTGAGATAAAAACACGAAAATAGAACTACCTTTCTGAAAAGATATGGCGTTCTGAAGTCAGATGGACTGTAAGTCATAGTAACAGAGCTGTTGGAGTTGTCATAGGCTGAAGGGACAGTGATATCGACAGGTACAGGGCCCCCAGGTGGCAGACTCACAAAAACGGGGGACTTTGGACAATCTCTGAATGTGGGTTTTTCTGTATCTGCAAGAGGAAACATATACAGTCTATTTAAAAGCTAGAATAAAAATCAATGATAAACCCTTCAATTTTACCAAATTAGAAAGAATTTCCCCTTCAATCACATGAATAAGAATAAAAATAATCTCTTTATTTCTACATTTTAATAATCATTGCAAAATGAGAAAAAAATATTTCCAACCTGAAACTAGAATTTGAACAATTCCAGACAACTAGCCACAGCATGATCGTGTATGTCTATAGAAACATTTTAACATTACATGTATCCATATATCATATAAATGTTTGTTAGTGTTCAGTGACATTCCTTATTATTTGGCTTACCTCTGCACATGGGGAAAGCTGCACTCCACACCATGTCAACAGCAGGGTGGGGCTCCACATTCCTCCGAATCCTCTCCGTGATTACAGCAGGGTGGGGCTCCACATTCCTCTGACTCCTCATCATATTTACAGCACGGTGGAGCTCCATATTCCTCTGAATCCTCATCATGTCTATAGCACGGCGAGACTCTATATTCCTCCGACTCCTCTCCATGTTTACAGCACGCTGGGGCTCCACATTACTCCGAATCCTCGCAAGATTTTCAGACAAAACAGTCCACTTTCTCCTCCAATTATTTTTCTGTCTATTGTCTGCAACGTGGTCAAATCTTTGTCTTCTCCTTTTGTTATACAAAAAGAGTGCAGGTCTTTTACTCCTTGCATAATTGTGGGACACCATAACAGATTTAGAATCCTGGGTAAGTCGCTTTCTCCTCAGACTGTCATCAGGAGAAATGAGTGTTGGTCGTTTTCCTTTAATGTCCTTGTAAGAAGAAGCGAAGCTTAATGGTTGCTTTCTCAGGAAGTTGTTGTAGGAAGCATATGTAGATCTCTTTCTCCTATTGTTATCTGAAAAAAGCACAGGAAACATACACAGGGTTGTATAAAAGTCATATATATGTCTGACCATGTCATAGTCAGTCAAGGTCATGTCAAGGTCAAATGGGGTCATTTCAATGTCACATATGGTCATGTCAAAGTCATAAAGGGGCCATGTCAACATCATCAAGTTCATGTCAAAGTTGTATACATGTTTGACCATGTCATAGTCATACTGGGTCATGTGTCATACACAACTCTATCTTAAGATCACAACACTCTGATTTCTAAAACCCTATAGCAACAGCTAAGACATTCACGTCTACATTTCTAAACCCTTATACCAAAACTAAGACATTCACATCTTCAATACTTAATCCATATATACCAACAGCTAAGACATTTATGTCACAATAGTTAACCCCTGTACGAACATAGAAGAACAAATCATCTACAATGCATTTTCAACACACAGACATTGCATACTTGTAAGAAAATAAAATTAATATAAACATTGAAAACTTTCAAAATGTTTCAAAAAATATTGAAAATTCACACATACTTAACTGACTTAAGCTTTTTAATCTAATAAAATCATTGAAATTGAAGTCCAAGAGTTATTTTTGTTATATGTTTTCATTGTCTAATCATGCTGGCGGTGATGAACTAGGCTGAATGGCTACAGTAATGAAGCAGGCAGTCATACAAGGTAAAACCATGCAGTTGTACATATAAGTGTATAATGATTATGCGTACAATGATATATCCAGTTTGAATTAGATATTATAATAAAGATATGCACACAAACACTAACGCAGCATAGGTATACAGTACAAGGTAAATAAGCCATGTTAATCTACAAAGCCACATTGGATAGGATTCCAAACAGGCCCTGCCTCTCCAGGGCATACCACCAACCTTTGTGTGGAGTTTGTACTAGTACCGGTATTACAACTAGCACATATACATATACACATAAGAGTATGGATGTGGAATGGAGCATTCATAAAGTCGTACAGATACTAAGTCTATAAACACTCATGACCATGAACTTAAGCCAATGTAAGAAAAGATATTAAGTTTATAAACACCCATGAACATGAACTTATAAGCCAATGTAAGATAAGATACTAAGTCTATAAACACTCATGACCATGAACTTATAAGCCAATGTAAGATAAGATACTAGTTTATAAACACTTATGACCATGAACTTATAAGCCAAGGTAAGATAAGATACTAGTTTATAAACACCCATGAACATGAACTTATAAGCCGATGTAAGATAAGATACTAAGTTTATAAACACTCATGAACATGAACTTATAAGCCAATTTAAGATAAGATATTAAGTTTATAAACACCCATGAACATGAACTTATAAGCCGATGTAAGATAAGATACTAAGTTTATAAACCCTCATGAACATGAACTTATAAGCCAATGTAAGATAATATATGAAGTTTATAAACACTCATGAACATGAACTTACAAGCCAATGTAAGAGGAGATACTAGTTTATAAACACTCATGAACATGAACTTATAAGCCAATGTAAGATAATATATGAAGTTTATAAACACTCATGAACATGAACTTATAAGCCAATGTAAGATAAGATTTAATTCCTCTGATCTTTGATTAAAGGTTTGATTTAAACATGAATCAAGCTGCAGTGTAATGGTAAAACGGACTGGCTTTGATCTAAGGAGTAGCTCTTTGATCACCTTCAAAAACGAGGTACTGGCAATCTTCTATTGGTCAGCTTTTTATGTATAATATCTAATAGCTAAACGTAAGCCTTTAACTTTAATGACAATAAGCAAGGGTGCAGAGAAAGTATGTATATCATAACTTGATTTTTTTGAAAAATGGTGAGTGGGAATCTACACAATCAATATCTTCTGGTTCCTGAAATAGGTCTCAGTGTTCTCATGATGCCCACATCCTTCAAACTGATTATAAAATGTTGACCAAATACAGGTAACAATATGGTGAAATGTGGCTATACTTATTTTATATATCAAGGCTAATGTACTATAAAACAGATATGTTTTATGCCACATGAGTGAATTTTCCATGAACATGGCCAATATCTTTTCAGCAAATTCCCTTAACATTGTAGAACGCTCCCCTGTAGCATCCCAAAAATGTCTGAGACATGTCCATCAATTTTTACCTGTATATATGTGCTGAATCATCATCTATAAACACCCTTTCTCCGTTATGAAAATTAAAGAAAAGCAGCATGCTCATATCACCAAAATAACAGATTACTGAAGAAAACAAGAGGAATAACTTCATATTTCTAAGGATGTTTTTAATACTGTTTCTGGTCTTCCATACAGTTTTGTATTCTCAGAGTGACTCATTCAGTGGTATCATCTGCAGAACATACTAAACCCCTGTGACTCAACCCCTGTGACTGGCATCAGATAATCACAGGCATGTAACTTACATCCATAACCAGGAATATATTCATAAACTTCTGTTAGAGCTTCCAACATTTTTGTTTAAGTTTTTGGTACCAGTTTGAAATCATGACGAATAGGTATACATAGATTAAGTTGTATAAATGTACACTATGTATGTGCTAGTGGTAATACTTTAGTAGCGTCATATTTTCAATATAACATGTTGATAAGGTATCTGAATTTAAGTAATATTGTTGTTACATTTGACTACCAAAGTTTGGTCTTGTAATGATAGGCCTGAATCCTTAGAAGGAGAAAGAAACAATTTACCATCCTCAAAAATTTGACAATTTTACAGTCAAAACTCTGAGGTGTCATAAGGGACACAAGTCCCTGTAAAACCCTCAGGTGTGCGTAGGGACACAAGTCACTGTAAAAACCTCAGGTGTCAATAGGGACACAAGTCCCTGTAAAACCCTCAGGTGTCATAATGGACACAAGTCACTGTAAAACCCTGAGATGTCAGTAGGGACACATGGCCCTGGAAAACCCTCAGGGGTCCGTAGGGACACAAGTCACTGTAAAACCCTGAGATGTCAGTAGGGACACATGTCCCTGTAAAACCCTCAGGTGTCCGTAGGGACACAAGTCACTGTAAAACCCTCAGGTGTCAATAGGGACACAAGTCACTGTAAAACCCTGAAGTGTCAGTAGGAACCCAAGTCATTGTAAAACCCTCAGGTGTCAGTAGGGACCAAAGTCCCTGTAAAACCCTCAGGTGTCAGTAGGGACACAAGTCCCTGTAAAACACTCAAGTGTCAGTAGGGACACAAGTCACTGTAAAACCCTCAGGTGTCAGTAGGGACACAAGTCACCATAAAACCCTGAGATGTTGGTAGGGACCCAAGTCCCTGTAAAACCCTCAGGTGTCAGTAGGGACACAAGTCACCATAAAACCCTGAGATGTTGGTAGGGACCCAAGTCCCTGTAAAACCCTCAGGTGTCATAAGGGACACAAGTCACCATAAAACCCTGAGATGTCAGTAGGGACACAAGTCACTGTAAAACCCTCAGGTGTCATGAGGGACACAAGTCACTGTAAAACCCTCAGGTGTCAGTAGGGACACAAGTCCCTGTAAACCCCTCAGGTGTCATGAGGGACACAAGTCACCGTAAAACCCTCAGGTGTCATAATGGACACAAGTCACTGTAAAACGCTCAGATGTCAGTAGGGACACAATTCACTGTAAAACCCTCAGGTGTCTGTAGAGACACAAGTCCCTGTAAAACCCTGAGGTGTCATCAGGGACAAAAGTCACTGTAAAACCCTGATATGTCAGTAGTGACACAAGTCACCATAAAAGCCTGAGATGTCAGTAGGGACCCAAGTCCCTGTAAAACCCTCAGGTGTCATAACGGACACAAGTCACCATAAAGCCCTGAGATGTCAGTAGGGGCACAAGTCACTGTAAAACCCTCAGGTGTCATTAGGGACACAAGTCACTTTAAAACCCTGAGATGTCAGTAGGGACACAAGTCCCTGTAAAACCCTGAGATGTCGGTAGGGACCCAAGTCCCTGTAAAACCCTCAGGTATCATAAGGGACACAAGTCACTGTAAAACCCTGATATGTCAGTAGGGACACAAGTCACCATAAAACCCTGAGATGTCAGTAGGGACACAAGTCCCTGTAAAACCCTCAGGTGTCATAAGGGACACAAGTCACTGTAAAACCCTCAGGTGTCAGTAGGGACACAAGTCACTGTAAAACCCTCAGGTGTCATAAGGGACACAAGTCCCTGTAAAACCCTGAGATGTCGGTAGGGACCCAAGTACCTGTAAAACCCTCAGGTATCATAAGGGACACAAGTCACTGTAAATCCCTGATATGTCAGTAGGGACACAAGTCACCATAAAACCCTGAGATGTCAGTAGGGACACAAGTCCCTGTAAACCCCTGAGATGTCGGTAGGGACCCAAGTCCCTGTAAAACCCTCAGGTATCATAAGGGACACAAGTCACTGTAAATCCCTGATATGTCAGTAGGGACACAAGTCACCATAAACCCCTGAGATGTCAGTAGGGACACAAGTCCCTGTAAACCCCTGAGATGTCGGTAGGGACCCAAGTCCCTGTAAAACACTCAGGTATCATAAGGGACACAAGTCACTGTAAAACCCTGATATGGCAGTAGGGACACAAGTCACCATAAAACCCTGAGATGTCAGTAGGGACACAAGTCACTGTAAAACCCTAAGGTGTCAGTAGGGACACAAGTCACTGTAAAACCCTTAGGTGTCAGTAGGGACACAAGTCCCTGTAAAACCCTCAGGTGGCAGGAGGGACACAAGTCCCTGTAAAACCCTCAGGTGTCAGTAGGGACATGAGTCACTGTAAAACCCTCAGGTATCAGTAGGGACACAGGTCCCTGTAAACCCTGGGGTTTCAGTAGGGACACAAGTCCCTGTAAAACCCTGAAATGTCAGTATGGACACAAGTCACTGTAAACCCTCAGGTGTCAGTAGGGACATAGGTCCCTGTAAACCACCAGGTGTCAGTAGGGACATAGGTCTCTGTAAACCATCAGGTGTCAGTAGGGACATACGTCCCGGTAAC